CCCCCGATATTTCTGGCTGAAGTCCTGCAACGACACCCTTGTATTGTTATGGTTTTAGCATAGTACCGTGCTTACTACAAAACGTCCGCGGTGTTGAGTTGAATGGGCAATTAATTACTAATGATTATATAGACAATAGACAGCACCTCTTTATTTTTGTCGCATATGCACGAAAATTGAGATTTTTTAGGTCTTTAAGAATTCAGAGGCGTATTCAAAAATTCAGAGAGATTCGCTACTTAGATTCGGTGTAATGGGGTCGACAAGTTGTCCATTTGGTGTTGTTCGGACTATAATTGGGGTTAATACTAGAAGATCGTCCTCGTGTTTAAATATTTTACCAACTTGAGACGTTGTTTGTTTTTTTTCCTGTCATTGCATAATACATCTTGGAGTATCGAAAACACAATCGTGGCTCATAGGCATTGACAGGCGTGTCCCGATACGCCACCCTGTGTTACGGCCTGTTTAAGTAAAGAAAAGCCCATGGACTCAGTGACTGTGTCATTTAGGGCTGGGCAAAAGCAAAACAGGACAAAAGAAAAGAAAGAAAGAATGAAAGAAAGAAAGAAGAAAGAAAAAAGAAAGAAAGAAAAGAAGAATTTTAATTTTCTCATTACCTTCAAAATGATTCCTCAATAAACAGTAATATTAAATTCCCCTTTCTTCAATGATTATTTAGAGTGACGTCTTCCAACAAAATGCACTGTGCGCTGCTCTTACTTTCTTTTACTTTTACTTTTTCATCCTCTGTTGCCGTTAAGCGTCGAGGGGAGATGCAGTTTTCTATGGTAGGCCAGGTCTGCAGCTCTTTCAGTTGTGATATTATGTTTTCTCAGAGTTTCCTTGACACCCTCAATCCACCTTTTTGAGTGGCCTTCCTCTTTCTTTATAGCCTTTGTGCTTGGTGTTTTAGGCTCTCGAGGCAGGTTGGCCAGGTGACATACGTAACAGTTGACCAAACCATTTTTTCTACTGTCTTTTTATGTAATGCAGGCAGGACTCAATGCCGATAGCGGCTCTTACTTCTTCATTTCTCTGCCTGTCTCGTCTTGTGATGTTAAGGGTTTGCGGGGACATTTCATTTCGCGTGCGGTGATTTTGCTTTCATGGGTAGTAAACAACTGGAACAGGTGGAGGAGTATAAATATCTTGGCAGTACTTTTTCTGAAAACGGGTCCATAGACAGAGAAATAGAAATGCGAACCCCCAAAAAAGCCAATGCTGTAGTGTCACCTATCAGCTTGCACTCCTCCTATCTCACACAAACATCTCCATGGACACAAAGAGACAGTTTATCCCCTCAATATTCATACCAACATTATGATACCAGTGCCAGACCTGGGCATTAAGTACTGCCAAGATATTTATACTCCTCCACCTGTTCCAGTTGTTTACTACTGACATGGATGTTCAGGGGACATCGGTTTCGGTTCACTTTCATAACTTCTGTTTTTCATGAGCTTACTTTCATGTTAAATTGTTCGCAGCTGTTGTTCTGTTCGTTACTGTGATTTTAGAGGCTTTGTTGGTTTGGGTGAATAAGACATTGGTCGTCTGCAAATAGAAGCTCATTTGGGTTTTCTGGGCTTTGGTTTGCGTCTAGCGTCATTGTGTCCATATACTTTATAAACAGGAGGGCAGATAGAACGCATCCATGTTGTACTCCAGATTTTACTTTGAACCAGTCTGTATTGCCTTCCTTCGTTCTTACTGAGCTTTTGCTGTTGGTGTATAGAGCTCTGACTTTATCTAACATTCATTTGTCTTCTGATGCCATACTTTTCGAGTGTCTTCCAGTGTTCTGCATGGTTTACTCTGCCAAAAGCCTTCCTCTGGTCTATAAAGACGTTGCTGAATTCTTTGTTGTGTTCAGTTGTCTAAAACAGCAACAAACTATGTTACTACTACTACTACTACTACTACTACTACTACTACTATTACTATTACTACTACTACTACTACTACTACTACTACTACTACTACTACTACTACTACTACAACTACCGCCACAACTACTACAACTGCTGCTACTGCTACCACCGCCACTACCACTACTGCAATGACGACGACGACGACAACAATAACAAACAGAAGCAGAATTTTTAAGACGCTAGCCGTGTTTGCGATAATTCTTTCAGAATCGCTTTATGAAGAGTGAACCCATAAAATGCTCTAATCGTGGTTATTCCTCCCCACAGAATTCTACACTTAGTGTAGAATTCTGTGATCCTCCCCTAACCCCCGGTGCCCATTTGCAAGATCAAGATCGGCTCAGTTCGGTTGGGCTCGGCTCGGTTCGGTTAATTAAGTTCAGTTCAATTCCGTTTGGTCGTCGAGGCTCACCAGATTTTCTTTTTGAAAAGCTACCATAGACAGTGGCACAAACCAAACGAAACCGACGTCAATGACCTTCAAGAACAAACATGTTCGTTTTCAAGGCCGCGAGTCGGGCGATCGGTTTTGAGGCAGGGGACGTACTGAACCAAACCAATCCTCCAATGGGCATAGCCTACATCTCTTGTTGAAGGGCAATAGAGTACGTACGGGGAGGG